GTTAATTGACTTCTAAAATCAAAGGAGTTGTGAAGAGCAACTAGGTAGCAAAAGAGGAACCTAGGTAGTTCCTTTTTTGTAAAAATAATTTTATATGTTATTAACACATGTATTCACAATAATCCACTTCCATTTTCTGCATTAGGGAATTACCAAAAATTTATTATCTGACTCAATACTATTAGAGTGAAATTGCAATATCTGAGGACTAGGTTCTGATGTTACTGAATATGGCAAAATATTAAAATACCAAAAATTACCACCAAACATCCCTTAGTAAGGCATCTGTTGGAAACCAACACATTTTTTTTTCTCATTAAGTTGGAGAAACAGCTGAATATTCAACAATGCAGTAAGCATTTGGGGTCAGGTTGTTCAAAAAATAATGTATGTCTTCAAATGCAAGAACTACTTTCAGCACAGAGAGACACCCACACTATGAGAGGCTGGTGGAAAGGGCAGGTATACATCTATAATTCCTGAAGAATAAACTCAAAATTATCCTAACCTTGCAAGTGATTGTCCTCCCTCTCTCCACCTCTCCCTTTCAATCTCTGGTTTTAAGTGGCAGATAATGCCAAGAACATATACAATAAATGAAAAGACTACACAAAACTGGAGTACCCTGGAGGGGCTTCACAAACGTTACTAATTATACACTGAAATCTACACAGAGTTCCAAGTAAATTATATTTCCTGCTTCCATAGAAAAGGAATATAATACAGGTAAGCCATCCAACAACTCAAGTAAAATTAAAGACAGATTTTTCCATTAAGTAAACATGTCTGTGTTTCTAAAATGTTTTGAAAACCCACAAATATAGCATACAAACACTGCTAATTAGAATTCAATAATAAACATCATCCTCTGTAGAAAGAATTTTCAAAAGTGAGGGAAAGGATGATGACAGAATAGAAACCAAACAAATACAAGCATCTGGATTTTAGTGGACCTGATCATACTAATATTAATAATTATAGAATGAACTGGTAAGGAAATTAGCAGCAGTAACTTCCAGCTTTCCCATATAAGTTGCTCCTTTCTAGCTTCTTTCTATGAGAAATGTAAAGAGAACTTTCAGCTTTAAAAATCTGACCATATTTAGTTCTGAAGGCTCCCAAAATATGCATATTATAATTAAAGTACACTTAAAATATAAGAGTATTTACCTTAGCACCAGAGAATCGTTCACATTTATGCATTGTTTATTGAGAGAATAAAATTATTCTCTCCAAAAAGTTGCCACAACTTTTTCTATTATTTGTTCTGAGAATGTAAACCTTAGAGTAAGAAAAAATAAAAAGAACGCTATGGTGCTTGAATTAAATATTTTATATGATTATATCACAATGACATCTTCTTTAGTCTAACATAATCAGTATTCTATATTTGTTGCTTGCACAAAACCATAATTACTCGCTGATTTGATCAAAATTACTAGCTGACTTGAGCAATTCAGTCAGCCAGTCAGCCTTCGGGGTAATTAGTCAAATCAACAGTCTATCAAAGTGACTAATATATCTCTGAATCATGGATTAAACTATCTACAACATCAAGGCAATTCTTAGATTTGTTCCAAAACCTCAGTTCATCTTGTTTAACTCCATAGGTTATTTTTCTCGTAATTTAATTTACTCTGTACACAGTTGAGAGTTTTTCCTCCCCTTCAAGGAAGAAAATGAAAGTGACAATAAAAACCTTTTAAGAACTTTTTTATTTCAAAAAAGTAAAATAAAAAAGTACAGAATTCAATGAAATCAGATACTCTTGTTTCGAAAAATAAGAGGAGGAGGAGAAGAGTTGTTTTTGTTATTGTGTAAGCGGGGGCACAGTCAAGGAGAAAGAGACAAAAATGGATTCTTACCAATCAAACCACTTCACAGTGCCTCAAATTCCATTAAAGGCCACAATTCTGTTGATTTGATGCCAGATGCCTCTAAATGTTCTTACTCAAGAAAAGTATGTTTTTTGAAAGAACAAGGAAAGCAATACATTTAAAGGCTAGAGAAAATGTTCTTCCATTTACTTGGGTCAGTGAAACATCCATCATACAGAGACACAAACACCTTACAGAATAAAAGATCAGAGGAGTTACACTAGTAGAAGATCAAAGAGCCAGTGCCTCTGGGGGAATCAAACAAGTAACTGCCTGAACAGAGCCCCCTATGATTTCTCAAGTAAATCTAGCTTATGTGATTGGAGGGGAGAACCACAAAGCAGAACATGCTGTCCCAAAAAAGTGATTAAAAAATAACTAATTCCGGTTTGACTCTCTCTCTCTGGAGAAAGAATCTTTTCAAAGTCATTAAGTGGAATAACTATATAATGGAAGTTTTAAAAACGCAAAAATGTTTGAATTATCTACACACACTAACTACAACAAGGCATATGAAATTATTGTATTCAGTCTAATAGCAAACCAGAAGAAATGAAAACATATTTAGTAAATGGTTGCAAAAGTGTAAAAAGAAACTGGATGCTTTTAACAGATGCCCTCAGATTTCATTCCACCTGCGTGGGCTAAAAGGGAGCACTCGTCCATCCCTGTCACATGTGCAAGTAAAAGAACAAGTTGTCATTAAAACTGAAGGGTGAAAAATTTCACAGTAGAAATAGAACATGTCCAGAAATTTTCAGCATCCCAAAACCTTTGGCTACCAACATCAAAAACACTACGCTGAACAAAGTGCCTACTAAGTACCTGCCTTAAACCTGCCTATTAATATCTTTCTCCTCTAAACCTTTTATTTTAACTACATCTCCCTATGGTGATGTAGTTTCTGCTTTGTGCTGTGATTATTTCAGAATCAGTCTGGTCTCCTTGAAGGTAGGGATCACATTTTTATGTTATTCATGTATTGATTTAGTAAGCATTTAATCCAAGAGCCCAAGATGTGCAGTGTGGGGATATGAATAAAATCTAGTCCCAGGCGTCAGGGATAAGCAGCTTACTATGGAGAGGTGTTTGCATCAGCAGGTAACAGTAACAGCCACCAGTGAGAAAAGCCACTGCTTATTGGGCACTTACTCTGTGCCAGGCACCACACTAAATTGTCTGTTCAATTCTTACAACCACCCACTGAGGTAGGGCGCCATCCCCATTTACAGATGAAGAAACTGAAGCCTAGAGAAAAGTGACTGGTCACATGGGTAGTAAGAAGCAAAGTCAGAGCACTGGGAGGACTGGATGGGAGCCAGGAGTCAATGGTCAGCTGTGATCAGAAGAGGGGCTTAGGAATGGCTTTACCAGGAAGGAACTCCTGCATAAATACCTTGTTTGCATAGGAATAGATCCGAGGGTGATACAAGGAAGCAATTCACTTAAGCAAATAACAAGAGTGCTGATAAAAACATGATGTGATTTCCTCCAATTCAGTCTCTAATGAAAGCTCTACACTTGTTTTTTGTTTGTTTGTTTGCTTGGCCATAAGGTCAACAGAACAGTGTCTTGAAACTTTCACCTATCACAAATCCAACTTTTAGAGATATTAAAAGATTGCAAATAGGCAAAACAATGACTTGAAGAAGGTGTAACAACTGGTTTACTAGTCATTGCTACCACCACAATGTATCACTCAGTCTAGAAACTTGGCATTTCAGCCACTACAGATATTCCATTTCCCTGGTTAAGTCAAGTCTAGCTACATAAATCGAGTCCAACTGGTTAGTAATTCTAATACATGTTAGAAATATAAACAAAACTGATTATCCTACCAGGAAAAAGAAAAAAAGCACTAAATATTAATCACTTAAAGTATCTCAATTAATTACTTTATTCTAAAGGAAAGGATACGTTAACTGTATTGAGAGATAAACTACCCAAAATGCGGACTAAAAAATGTTTGTTTCTTCCCTTTCCCATGGCAGATACTGATCAATAATACAAGGAATAGCCCATAAATTCAGCTGTATATATTCCGTGTTTTAATACAATTTAAATTAGCAAATTAAGATGTAATTATATGTGATTTTCTTGTAATTGTTTATGAAATACAAAACCATGTGATATTATATAAAATAAAAATAAAAATTCAAGTCATTCATCACATTGATCTTCATATTAAATCTCCCACTGTGGATCAGATTCTGCAATTTGACTCCTGGTTTTATAAAATTTCTGCTGATCATATTCATCTTCTCCATGTCACATAGTCCCAGATTTTTCCTCAAATAATTATAATACAAAGCACATTCCTGTATGTGCAATTTAAAGATCTGTGGCTTAGCCAGGTTTGGAATTTAACACTAGAACAAATCACACCATGAATCAAATAAATTGTGTAAGAAAGGTGGTTCTATTTTTACAGAGTTATGTACCAAACCTCCTTAACATAAACACACACACACCCGGGAGAAATGGATCTGTTAATGGATTACATCTTTTTGTTTTTGTTTTCGGTTTTTGTTTTTGTTTTTTTTAATTATACTTTAAGTTCTAGGGTACATGTGCACAACGTGCAGGTCTGTTACATATGTATACATGCACCGTGATGCTTTGCTGCACCCATTAACTCATCATTTACATTAGGTATTTCTCCTAATGCTATCCCTCCCCCACCCCTCCACCCCATGACAGGCCCCAGTGTGTGATGTTCACCACCCTGTGTCCAAATGTTCTCATTGTTCAATTCCCACCTATGAGTGAGAACATGCAGTGTTTGGTTTTCTGTCCTTGTGACAGTTTGCTCAGAATGATGGTTTCCAGCTTCATCTATGTCCCTGCAAAGGACATGAACTCATCCTTTTTTAATGGCTGCATAGTATTCCATGGTATATATGTGCCATATTTTCTTTTTTCTCACAGTGAGTGGCCAGGATATCAAGCTTCATTTATTGTAACTACAGGGTGGAAGTACATTCGTGACTTCAGATTTGGAACTGCAGTAGATACTTTTTTTTTAAATTAAGAGCTGATATATGGGATTTAGGCCAAGTTCATAGGTAAGTTATGATTTCAAAATATCTCATTTCATCATTGCTTTATTCTCCAATAGCCAAATGAAGAGAGAAACGTCATGGAAGAGGCAAAAAAAGGCTTTCAGCCCTCAAGCTCTACAGCTCAACAGGTCAGCAGAGTACTTCATGTGATAAATTTGGCTGAGATGGTTCACTTTTAAACATCATCTCCCACTTCCTAATTCTGATCATCCTTCTCTTGGGGGAAAACTTTAAATTCCTGAGTAAATTTCCTTGTCTTCATAAATATCTTCACTTGGGGTTTCAGGAACTTGATGGGAAACCTGCTTCTCCTATTCCAGTTATTGTGGCCTCCCACACAGCCAACAAAGAAGAAAAGGTAGGTCAGACATCATACTCAAACCTCCCTCTACCCCATCCTCCTCCCCATCAATATTTGGAGAATACATAGGCCTCTGTGGTTTAAGAGACAGAATCAAGTTTCAGAGCAGCGGCTTTGAAATGGGAAGATGTTTTTTTGACTATTAAGAAAATTTTAGTTCTCACTTTGGATCATGAACCCACAGATAACTTCCCTTTAACAGTACTGTAAAACTTAATTACCCTCTTTTGTTTGCAGAGTTTACTCGAACTAGAAGTAGATTTGGATAATTTGGAATTAGAAGATATTGACATAACAGATATCAATCTGGATGAAGATATTTGGATGATTGACTGTAATGCTTTCCATTTACCTGACTAAACAGATCATTATTATATATAGGTATTGATTGCTACCCTGACCACAGCGCTTTGGACTATGAGAAATTTCTTAGATTTTTATATGTAAATACTGTGGACCACTGGGAACATAATGCCCATATCATCTTAAGAAGAGTTTATGTGCAGCATTTAAATCACTGTGTTTTCCTTGTTAACTAAAACAGACATGGGCTTTGATTTTTTCCATACTATTAGACCGTATCTCCTAAAACCTTCTGAATTAATGGAAGATACTTCTGTTTCCTTTCTCAACAATGAAAATAGGCTTCTAGTTTTAGAAGGCTGAGCCGAAACTACACCTTGCCTAGGGATCAGCCCCACTCTCTTTTCTTTGCATAACTAAATCTGCATTTTCAAATGCTGTCAATCACATTTTTCTTAGAGCTGAACATCCATGCTGTAATTCTCTAAACTCTTTTTCTTGACCTCATTGCATCATTCCACAGGTCTTGCTCCAATTTTATCTAGCAGCTACCCATTTCTGGAGTCAGGATGTGAAACCTCTGTTCCTCTGACCTCATTAAGCTGGGGTCTGTCTAAATTACCATTTACCTTATTTGGTAACACACACACAAAAAAAACCATACTTTTTAACTGTACACTCATCTAACATGATTCAAGAAATTCATAACCAGGCACTCAAATACCCTTGTAGCCTAGAAAAGTGAATAGGGTAACAATTTTTGCTTTGTAGGGAGAACTACAAATTGATACCTTTTAATCCGGTCATTTTTTAACGTTTAGCTCAATATTAACAGAGAAATGTAGTCAGTATTTAGTAAAATAAATGTATTTTAAAAATATTTTTAGGAAGCTGCAGAATGGCGACTGAGTGCTTCTTGATAAGTTTGCAGTGTTAGTTCTACATAGGCTCCCTTCTGTGCTTCTGTTTTTGCAAAGACCTTGATTAAATTTATTCCCTCAGCAGCCTGATCCTTGTCCTCTCGAGCCGACTGGCCGTCTGGATGGAGTATGTGATACAGCTGGACCAAGCTGGTTGCGTCATCGATTAAATCTCTCTGAATCTGGTCAATCAGCAAACCATCAATCTTTTTATTATTTACAAAATACCACACCATTCCACCAAAGTATCTTGTTGAACGTAAAAGGTCATATTTTCCGTGTTTATCTATATCTTCCATAGGTCTCGTGATGAACCTTGATATACTCAGCGGAATCTGGCTCAAACTGGGCAAAGCAGAGATTGAGGACATCAGCATGCCTGTCCTGGCTATACATAGTCCTAAGATTTTCCTCCTTGAAAATTATTGGTGTCAAAACTTTACGACCTTCTTTTGGGAAATAAACTTGCATCATCCGGTCCCGTTCTTCCCAAGAGGCTTTGCGTAGTGTGCCACTTGGTTCTCTAATGACAATAAAACGCTCCCGGTGTGGTATGCTATATGATATATCAGTAAACATATATTTGGTTGTTTCTGTTCCTTCCAAAATCGTATCTTCAGCTAACACATCATTTATTGGTACTCGCTCTTCCAGAACCGGTGGCATTTTTAATCGTACTTTAGCTGCCTCAACTGCCTGTCTTGTAGCCTCTTCCAATTGTGCCTGAGTTATTAGCTTATAGGTTGGTGGCTTCAGTTCTTGTACAGCTGGTTTAAAAGTCTTCTGCAAGTTCAAGCCTGTCATTTTCATGAGTATGCTTTGAACTTCTTCATCCATAAATGTAGGTTTCTTGGTATCTGGGCTACCAGATTCTGCGGCCTCGGAGCTGACCAGCAGCGTGGCAGCCCCACCTCGAAAGAGCAAGGTAGCGGTTGGAGCAGGCCACCATGCCAGGGCTGGATTCGAGCCCAGAAACAGACCCTTTCCACACCTGCAGAACCCCTCAGGAGGCTCCACAGCGACACAGTGGTTCTGAGGGGCGCCATGATTATCAGTGTCACATTTTCTTAATCCAGTCTATCATTGATGGACATTTGGATTGGTTCCAAGTCTTTGCTCTTGCGAATAGTGCCACAATAAACATACGGGTGCATGTGTCTTTATAGTAGCATGATTTATAATCCTTTGGGTACATAGCCAGTAATGGGATGGCTGGGTCAAATGGTATTTCTAGTTCTAGATACTTGAGGAATTGCCACACTGTCTTTCACAATGGTTGAACCAGTTTACACTCCCACCAACGGTGTAAAAGCATTCCTATTACTCCACATCCTCTCCAGCATCTGTTGTTTCCTGACTTTTTAATGATTGCCATTCTAACTAGTGTGAGATGGTATCTCATTGTGGTTTTGATTTCCATTTCTGATGACCAGTGATGATGAGTACTTTTTATGTGTCTGTTGGCTACATAAATGTCTTCTTTTGAAAAGTATCTGTTCATATCCTTTGCCCACTTTTTGATGGGGTTGTTTGATTTTTTCTTGCAAATTTGTTTAAGTTCTTTGTAGATTCTGGATATTAGCCCTTTGTCAGATGAGTAGATTGCAAAAATTTTCTTCCATTCTGTAGGTTGCCTGTTCACTCTGATGGTAGTTTCTTTTGCTGTGCAGAAGCTCTTTAGTTTAATTAGACCCCATTTGTCTATTTTGGCTTTTGTTGCCATTGCTTTTGGCGTTTTAGCCATGAAGTCCTTGCCCGTGCCTATGTCCTAAATGGTATTGCCTAGGTTTTCTTCTAGGGTTTTTATGGTTTTAGGTCTAACATTTCAGTCTTTAATCCATCTTGAATTAATTTTTGTATAAGGCATAACGAAGGGATCCAGTTTCAACTTTCTACATATGGCTAGCCAGTTTTCCCAACACCATTTATTAAATAGGGAATCCTTTCCCATTTCTTGTTTTTGTCAGCTTTGTCAAAGATCAGATGGTTGTAGATGTGTGGTGTTATTTCTGAGGCCTCTGTTCTGTTCCACTGGTCTATATCTCTGTTTTGGTACCAGTCCCATGCTGTTTTGATTACTATAGCCTTGTAGTATAGTTTGAAGTCACGTAGCATGATGCCTCCAGCTTTGTTCTTTTTGCTTAGGATTGTCTTGGCAATGCAGGCTCTTTTTTGGTTCCATATGAACTTTAAAGTAGTTTTTTCCTATTCTGTGAAGAAAGTCATTGGTATCTTGATGGGGATGGCATTGAATCTTAGTTATACTTGCACAATTACCTATCTACCTTAACACTATGTTCATCACACAGAGATTATCTGATGACCTTTTGTCCACTTCCCCTACCCTTTTACTAAATTTCAAGCATTAATAGCACTGTAATGGATGCTCTCAGGTCCCCCTAAACCCCTCCAGGACCAAAAAATTTATTCTCCCAGCTGCTAAGAGTGCTGTTGGCTGTCAGCCCTCTCCAGAAGTTTCCCTCTGCCAAAGAGGGCTGCTTTGCCCATGATTTGCCCATGATTAAGGGCAGTTCATATCCATGACTAAAGGAGGATGTTGCCCCCAACCCCAACTCAGGACAATCCTGAGGGGGTCAACCCAGTTTCAGAGTTTCCTGTAGGGTCAGCCTAGGCCTTAGAAAGGACTTGATGGCAGTCCATCATCATCCTCTGCACAGTCCTGCTTCTCTCCCCCACAGGTGCTGATTCAGAGAATGTACCCTAACAAACTCCTGCAGGTAAATCTCCACCTCAGAGTCTCTGCATCCCAGGATGTCAAGCAACTAGAACCATCAGTATCCATCAACTAAGAAACTACATATCTAAGGTTATTAAAGACACTTAGAGAGAGGGAAAATATTAGCTTTTTAAATTCAGAAATCTTGTAAATGGTACAAGCCTTCAAAAACCAGTAAAGAATATTACTTTGCTAGACAAACTAATGAAAACACACCAAAGCTATTTCAGTAAGTTCAATCAATATTTTCTAATATTCCACCTTTAATAGTTCTAAATGACACCAAACCAATCTTAAGAATGAACACAAAAACTAGCTTTTACTCTACGTACTTACATTACCATTTTAAAACTATTTACCCTTCATGTGAGGCTACTAGAAAATTTGGCTAATTTAAAAATACACACATAGGTTTTCAGGGGGAGGTGGGGATGGCTAATGGGTACAAAAAATAGAAAGAATGAATAAGACCTACTCTTCGATAGCATAGCAGGGTGATTACAGTCAATAATAACTTAATTATGCATTTTAAAATCAGAGTACAATTGGATTGTTTGTAACATGAAGGATGAATGCTTGAGGGATGGATACCCCATTATCTATTATGTGATTATTTTATATTGCATGCCTGTATCAAAACAGCTCATGTGTCCCATAAATGCATACACCTACTATGTACCCACAAAAATTAAAAATAAAAAACTTAAAAATATAAACAGGCAAACAAATAAATACCAACAACCTGGAGAACAAGAAAAATAATCCTGTCACTCACTTGTTCTTTCAAAAACAAATCCTATTTAAAGATTTTTCAAGTCTAAATCTTCTGATTACAAAAGTAGACAGTAAGGGAGAAAAGAGAAGGAAGGAGAGATTTTCCCCTTTACTTTAACACATACTCATCTCTCTTTCAAAGACTACAGGCTAGTCTTTTTTAAGCTACATTAAAAAAAGAACATGTGTCCCATACTACATTTTTTTTTAAGGAAACTTGCCAGAAAGGGATCCCGATCCAGACCCCAAAAGAGGGCTCTTGGATCTCGTGCAAGAATTCAAGGTGAGTCCATAGAGTAAAGTGAAAGTAAGTTTATTAAGAAAGTAAAGGAATAAAGAATGGCTACTCCATAGGCAGAGCAGCCCTGAGGGTGGCTGATTGACCATTTTTATGCTTATTTTTTTATTATATACTAAACAAAAGGTGGATTATTCATGAGTTTCCTGGGAAAGGCATAGGCAATTCCCAGAGCTGAGGGTTCCTCCCCTTTTCAGACCATATAGGGTAACTTTTTTTTTTTTTTTTTTTCTTTTTGAGACAGAGTCTCACTCTGTCACCCAGGCTGGAGTACAGTGGTATGATCTTGGCTCACTGCAATCTCCACCTCCCAAGTTCAAGCAATTCTCCAGCCTCAGCCTCCCAATGTTAAATATAGTGAACCCCAAGTTTCTCTTCAAAGAATCAGTATGTCAGTATGTTCAGCTCTCTTATTCTTTGACTCTCCATTTTAAAGTTTAGCTTCCTGGTTCTCTCGCCCACTTCCTTCTAGTTTCAGTAAATACTTTCCTACCAGTCCAAATCAGTAGTTCACATCTGTTCCCCTGGTCACCTGCTCTGTCCTAACTCATTCCGATCACCTGCTCTGACCTAAGTCACCTTTAGTTACCTGTTTCTAACCGTCCTTCCTGCCAAACTATTCACCCCACCACTCTGGCTCATGCCCCTGCCCTCTTTAAAATAGCCAATCATAATTAGTTTAGACTGTGCAGTCCAACCCTAGCCAATAGGGGAACAACACAGCAGTATGGAATACCTGCATCAGGAATAAGAACTCCTGCCTCTCCCCTGTCCAGGTGTGCTCTCACCATTGTTCCATCTGCGAGGGGCACCCTTTCTGCAGAAAGTAAAAGTTGCCCTGCTGAGAAAATTAAATTTATGTTCGAGTGCTATTTCTTTATGGCACTGGGGAACAAGCACTTTGCATTTCTAATACCAAGTAGTTGGGATTACGGGTATGCACCACCACACCTGGCTAATTTTTGCATTTTTAGTAGAGACAGGGTGGTGCCATGTTGGCCAGGCTGGTCTCGAACTCCAGACCTCAGGTGATCTATCTGGCTCAGCCTCCCAAAGTGCTCAGATTACAGGCATGAGCCACTGTGCCCGGCCATATAGGGTAACTTTCTGACATTGCCATGTCATTTGTAAACTGTCATGATGCTGATGGGAGTGTAGCAGTGAGGACAACCAGAGGTCACTTTCATTGCCATCTTGGTTTTGGTGGGTTTTAGCTGGCTTTTTCACCTCAAACTGTTTTATCAGCAAGGTCTTTATAACCTATAACTTGTGCTGACCTCCTATCTTATCCTGTGACTTAGAATGCCTAACTTACTAGAAATGCAGCCCAGCAGGTCTCAGTCTTATTTTACCCAGCCCCTATTCAAAATGGAGTCACTCTGGTTCAAAGGCCTCGATAAAACTGTTTCCATGGAACTAGCTCACTTATTAAATATTACTCTGATATTTCCAAAGCAGTTATCTATTTTGGTGTAGTACAAAGAACACTAGACCAGGGGTATGAATTCCTGGGTCCCAGTGCTGGTGCTGGCATGAACTTGTGGCATCTAGTGATAAGAGTCCACTAGATTATTAATTAAAGGCATTGAATGGTTAGTTATGGAGACCCAGATTCAAGCACAAGTTCTAGCACTTACTAGCCATGTAACCTTCAGCAGGACATTAAACCACTCTAAGCTTAATGCCTCATCTGTAAAATAGAGGTGATGATAATGGTGCCTACCTCATGGGACTGCTGGGGAGATTAAATGTGACACTGTGGGTAAGTGCTCAGTACAATCTTTTTTTTTTTTTTTTTCTTTTGAGAGGGAGTCTCGCTCTGTGGCCCAGGCTGGAGTGCATTGGTGTGACTTAGGCTCACGGCAACCTCTACCTCCCAGGTTCAAGTGATTCTCCTGCCTAAGCCTCCCGAGTAGCTGGGATTACAAGCACCCGCCACCATGCCCGGCTAATTTTTATGTTTTTAGTAGAGACGGGGTTTCACCATGTTGGCCAGGCTGGTCTCGAACTCCTGAACTCAGGTGATCCACCCGCCTCAGCCTCCAAAAGTGCTGAGATTACATGCATGAGCCACTGCGCCCAGCCTAGCACTGAGTCTTTCTCACTGCAAGTACTGACAAAAGTGAGCCATTACTATGAGCTATTTTTCCATCTGTGCCTACCAGAATCCAAGAGCTTTGGAGAGGAGCGGTGCTTCACATATTTTTAAAAATGGTGAATATTAAAACTCTCTAAGG